TTTACCAACGATAAAAAAAAAAAAATTGATAAATTAGCCATCATTCCCTTTTGTCTTCCGAAAGCCTTAAAAAAGCGGTGTTCTCAAAAATATAAACAACGTCTAAAAATTTCAAAAATACAAGCAAATATAGTCATAATTTTCAGTTACGAAGTGAAGAAAAGGAAAGTATTAAAGCCGGAAGCTCATTTCGATACACTAATGGATTCTGAAAGTTAGAAATTTTTTTTTTTTTGAGGAATAAATTAATATAGTCACTCAACCTTTTTCATTTGTAGAACTGGCACAACCGTGTGTCAAACGGACTTGAAAAAGAAAGATTCTGAATAAGACGGATAATTTTACTCATCAAGCTCCTCCGTTTCTTTCTGCAGTTGCAAGTTTTTATGCCAAATATAATCCAACTGCTTTTTTTCCGGTAACTTTTCACTTGTGGATAATGTCCAAGCTCTCGAATTCTATATGGAAAATCGTGAAAGTGGTATTCGAAATATTTTGAAGTCCCATCGCTTGAACGATGCCACCTTTTCAATTTTAAAATTTATTGTCACAGCAGGTGTCCATCCCCAGTACGCCATACTTGATCAGTACAATTCGTACAAGGTGAGATACCTTTGTTTTAATGTTAAATTCTAGATGGACCAGGACCGAATGATTTCATTTTTCCGAAAATCTTTACGCTCAAATGGTTAAAGCCGAAACATCCTTCCATTTTCCTACCTCTATCTTTGATCCTTCCTTCCATCTTTTCTCTGATAAATTCTCAGGATTTCGACCTTGGAGTTTTTTCCTTCTTTTCAGATCGGAAATGAACTTTTTGCTCACACACGAAGAAAACCATTTGCTGTCTTACATCCGAATAGTTGCTTGGCACTTTTGCCAGAGGCTTTGGATTATGATCGCAGTGAAAAGGTTTTAATTTTACACTTCATTTTTTCCAAAAAAGGGGTTTTTTTTTAATAATAGAATGAATCTTAAGAAATGGCTAACATGTTGGTTTTATCTTATTCCTCTTTACTTTCCTTGCGCTACCGTCCTGTTTCTTGCCTACCATTTTGTCTGTGTCTTCTTTTCAACTGAGAATGAAGTGGCTGGACTGATTTTACCATTAAGTTATTAATATGGGATAATATTGCTTAACTCCTACTATTGTTTTCATTACAGGGTTTGTCGAATTATCACCAACTGATTTCGTTTGCATCATTTATAGAAACTACGAAGCCGTATATTTGCAACAGTTTACGTGTACCAGCGCTAGCTTTACTGTTACTTTCAAAATCGGTATGTCCACTAAGAATATCTGTAAATTTCATGTCCGTATTTTTAAATTTGAGAAATTGTTTGATTACTCCAGGTAATATGTTCGGAAGATGACTATTCAATTGTCTGTGATGATTTTATTAGCTATAAATTTCCACGAGCCATGGATTTCTTCACCATTGTGGAGCAAGCAACTGCAATTCGTCGACAACTTGCCAGAGCGCTTAACAGAAGTCTTGAAGGAGATCTTTCCGATAGTCATGCACTTGCTAAAAGTGTTTTGTCATTCTTACGATCAAACGTGGAATATATGTGAGTTTATGCGAAAGACTTGAATCCTATAATGTTTAGCACAATGCAATATGAAAGTCAAGCTGGATGACTTTACTGAAATGGAAATTCAATATTTATCCACAAATTAGTCTTTTACAAATTTTAGTCTAACTCGTCGTGCTTGTCCGGATGATAATAGAGAACTGGGCTTCGTACTTCCATCAGGGGAAAAGCTGAGCGAGAAAGGTGATGAAGAAACACTAACATCAATACGACTTTACGAAGCCCAAAGCGATTCGAAGGTTGTTTTTGCGATGCATACAGATTTATTTGAAGGAAATAGCATTTTTGATCTCTTTTGCAATCTCGATTCGTATCAGAACTTTACGGATTGTTCTATCCTTGGTTTGGTTTTAAAAATTAATATCAATAATACCGAGCATAACAAATAGAACTCGTTAAAGAAAGCTTGCTTGCAGCCGTTGAACTATCTTGTTTAGTTTTTCCTCTGCAATATTCGATGATTCAGATAGCTCCTCAAAAGAAATGATGTGAGCTCAACAAAACTGCCGAAAACAAACCAGGGATTGAATATTTTTGTGATGTTTGTCAAAAGAAATTTTGGAAATGATTGCAATTTTTGAATGTGGTAGTATCTATCCAACTTTAATCCTAATGCTTTGCAGCTGGAGGACGAACTTGCTATCAACAGAACTGCCGAAAAGAAACCAAGCATTGAATATTTTTGTGATGTTTGCCAAAAGACTCTTTTGTTTACTACAGCTTTTGATATTCTTAGACATCAACGATCTCATTAATTTCTTTATCATGTTGTTAAACGTAGAGAGCATTGCTATTCTGCATCATCTAAAGTATTAGAAAATGCATTGTGAGAGCTGATCTAGTTTTTGCATCTGAAGAATGCTGATCAACTCTTCAGTTTAATTCTCCTTATTACTAAAAACTTCCGTAATTGTTCGAAATATTTTACCTTTCATTGTTGCCGATTTTCTTCAACCGTCACAAGGACTGAGGATTCCTTCTCTCTTTAGTTGATAGCAGCTCAAATTTGGGCAATCAAATCTTTATTGCGACAAATTTATTAATACAAGAATTTGCAACTACAACATCGACAGAACAAATTAATGACGAAAACACTAAGATCAAAGAAGGCCAAATCACGCCCAATACCTTATGTCCAACCGACTCCAATGAAGCACGTTTGTAAAATGATGCTCAGGACCCCCCACTTCCTCGAGTGGGAGGATCATTGTACCGTTTTATAATTACAAGAATTAGCATCCTTATGGAGCGCCCACTGGTATAGGGTCCTTTGTTAGCGCAAACGTAAGACGATATGAACATATAAAACAAATATGTCTGGCTTTCAACGAAAGGGATTATTGTTCCTTTGTTTCTACTTGAAATATCAGCGACACTCCCGAGGCAAGTACGATCTGGACCTTATCCTCGGTCGGAAACCTCTAAAGGATAGAGGTGTCTCACTGCTCTCAGTAGTTCTTCCGTTATTCTTACAACCACTGATCGACATACCATCTTTGGCCTTTATGAGTCTGTTGATTCTTCCCATTCTTCAGGTATTTCTGGGACAGTCTCTTTTCAACAACACTAGCTCACCAATTTTGGGTTCTCGTCGAGTATGGCTGCAAGCCCGTTGTTTGCGTTGAGCTCGTTTTCGTAACTCTTCTAGATATTCTCGCCATATTTTCCATAGATGATCAAGTCTCTTGCATGTGGTCGTGTATTGATGCCCCAGTTCCTTTCTAAATTTTCTTCCCCGCATATCGTCTTGTCCCTGCAATAAGCCCTTCTGTCAAATTTTTTAGAGCTGGACCTGGATTCAAGAAATCCCGGGTCCTAACACTAAACCTATTCCAGATCCACCAAAGGTCTTTCGTTGATAATCGCTTCAAGTTTGGTGACTAAAGTTATCAATTCTCCGTTGTTAAGGAGCTTGCCCCAGAAATACCTGGAATAAGGGGCAAAGATGGTATATGTCGATCAGCGGTTGTAAGAATAGCTAACGGAAACGAGCTAGTGAAAGCAGCAGGACACCTTTATCTGTTAGAGGTTCCCGACCGAGGATAAAATCCACACCGCACTCGCCTCGGGAATGTCGCTGATATCTCGAGTAGAAACAAAGGAACAATAACCCCCTTTGTTGAAAACAGATATCTTTGTTTTATATGCTTATACCATCTTACGTTTGCGTTAACAAAGGATCCCTACACCAATGGGCTCTCCATAAGGATGCTAATTCTTGCAATTATAAAACGATACAAGGATCCTGTCGGGAAACCGAAAGAATTTATTATACATTAAATGCTTAGGATATTTCTAATTCATCACTGCATTAATTCACCAATTTACATTCTTTAAAATTATCTTCCATACGTTTCTTTTGTTATCTTTGCCTAACGAAAATTCACATCTTTATTTTAATGACAAAGGATGTCCAATTTACATGCTAACCTTCCCATCTGATCTTGTTACAACGCTTATTATGTAATTGGATCTTTACAGTTTCCTTTGTACCTAAA